GCGACGGGGGAATTGAACCCGCGACCCTCAGATTACGAATCGAGCGCCCTAACCATCTGGCCATGTCGGGCCTCCTTGTCAGAGTCACAACAGAGTAAAAATAACATCTAGTCCTATTCTGATTCAGTTTGGTTTATTTTGAATTGGAAAAAAATGCTACTCGAGAGCTATCTGCGCTGCCCGTCACTAATCTAGTAGTGATAGACTACAGGGAAGGCAGCTAGTCAATACCACCCACCGCCAACTCTTGGGCTACGAATAGTGGAATTCCCCTTTATATTATAACGCCCGACGACTGAAAGGGTGAGCATGTTTGGCGACAGGGATTCAAACCCGTGACCCGCAGATTGGGAGCCGAGTGCCCTGATCACCAGGCTATGACAGGCCATAAACTCGTTCATCTCAACAAGGGACAAAACTTTTGTAAAATTCTTACGAACCGCTAAGAATAAGCTTTGAAATGAACGTTATGAACATCTCACTTCTCTTACAATGCAATAACAGTTGTCCAACTATGTTGTAAAATACTCTCTTAAAGCGCAAGGAAAGGCTTTTACAAATATTTGGAACTTACTGTTTTTTTTTAAGAATGTCGATATGATAATAAAAGATAGGAATTCTTAATGCGTATAACAGGAAGAAGTGCTGACCTGGCTTACAAATCAATGTGACATAGATCACATTCCTATAAAGTCCCATGATTAAACCTTAATGGAATTTCGAGTCTTTTATCTGCTCGTCCCCCTGTGGATCAGAAATAACTTTGAGGGTTTATAACACTAAAAACTTGGTTTCTATGCCACAGTCCAAGTAGCCTATTTGTAGCTTTGTGCTTAACAACAAACAAATAATTTTTATCTGTTCTTTCTTTTTGTTGGCTATTCTCTGAAGAAGCCTGATTCCATCAAAGAATCTTTGGAAGGCCATTGTTAAGAATCAGAGGAAGCAGATAGATCATTAATGTTATGAAATAAAATTATCTTCAATACTATTATTTCGAAAAATATATTAAGGACCTTGCAATTTGTATTATTTTGAATACTAACTATTTTTAATTGCAGTTTCACATTTCTAGTCTCTTCTAGAGAACAGTGTGCCATGTGCTTTGGGAAAATCTTTATAAAAATGTTTGTTTTGTTTGTTTTTGAATTTCGCGCAAAACTACACGAGGGCTATCTGCACCAGCCGTCCCTAATTTAGCAGTGTAATACTAGAGGGAAGGCAGCTAGTCATCACCACCCACCACCAACTCTAGGGCTACTCTTTTACCAACTAATAGTGGGATAGACCGTCACATTATAACGCCCCCACGGCAGAAAGGGCGAGCATGTTTTGGTGGGACGGGGATTTTATAAAATAGAACTGTAGAAAAACAGTAGGCCATGTACACAGGAAGAAGAAGAAATGGCTCCTGTAACGAAATATTTATGTTTGAACAATGCAACGAAATTTCAACAACATAGTAAACATTATTTATCATTTAAGTATCATCCAGTAATGATGAGGAGATAATACACTTAACATGTATTTCAGGTGAAATAAGAGATTACAAATTTAGTATATATTTCAGGTGGACGTGGAATGACAACATTAGTGTGTGTTTCAAGTGAAACGAGGGATGATAATGTTGCTGTATATTTCAGGTGAGGTTCGTCCTCCACCACCGGAAATACCGGACTTCCTTTGTGATTTTGAGAACAATGATTGTGGAGTAGAAAACCAAGAAAAGATGCGCGGCGAATTCGTTAGAACGTATGGAACTCTTGGAGATAGAACAGGTATGGAGGGCATTTAATCGTCATTTAGTATTCAGTTTCACTTTATAGAAAAATATTTTTCTTGGAAAAGACTTTCACTAATTAATCGTGAAACAAATGGCAAGTTTATGAAAAGGTGTAAAAATGTTTCTGTAAATACAAAGAGAAATACTAATAATGTTAAATTCCTTCAAAATATATTGAGTAGTTTATAAAAGGAATACTTCTAAACAGCTCAAATTTAATTTATGCTTTTTTGTCTCTATACGGTGAATCCAACTTACATTATGTTTATGGCACTGATAGAAAAAATCCAACAGATGTGATGTTTATGC